CACTTGTTGATATACTGTGCTACCTGGATGACAATACTATCATTATTTAACAGTGCAGTGAACTGTTCTTCAGGAGGCAGGTTGGTCAAATGAGATGCCAAATATTTTTTAGCTCTGAACATATATTGGTAAAAAGTATGCCAAATCTTGTAAATACCGTGCTTGAAATTCACCTCAATGCCTTTTCTTAAATAAGGTGAAAAAATAATATTGTTTTTTCTGGAACTAAAATTTTGAATGGTTTGGCAGCTATCTTGGATTTAAGTTAAACCGGAAGTATCCATTTTGAACCCATTCTTTAGAGTGATTTATTGTGATTTTTTGTAGTAAAATTTTTGATATATGGGTTGCTTATTTCATGAATAAAAGCATTATCCATCACATGACTTTTTCTGTCATGTTTTTTCCTGAAATAACAAAACTCGTTTGAAAATATTCTTTGTAACCACTGAACACATTTATCTGAACTTTGCATAATGCTCAATAAAATTTGTGAAGCTCTCTGATTCTTCCCAAACAGGAAGTAGTTTTTATTACGTATATGTGATTTTCTTATTTTGTTGGACTTGTAATTAAACCTCAATATGTCAGTGTGTCCATTAAAAATATGCACACACACATCATATCATACATATATATAAACTGATGGAAACACTGTATTTCTAAGGATGCAATAAATTATCTTTATTATCATTATTATTATTATTATTACTTGTGCACATGTTTTGTTTCATAATTCAATTCAAGATGGCCAAATGTTGGCCATGTTAGAGCTAAATATTCATCAATTGTGCAGCTGTGCATCTGGATGTCAGTCAGTAATGGACATATTTTATTCAAACTTTGTAAGCCCTTGATTCAGATCATGTTTTCAGATTGGATTGGTCATTTTATTTCAACAAATATACAATGTCAAAAATTCCAGCATATTGATTTTGTTGAGGTTATAATTCTTATAATGGACCACTCATTAAATATCACAATTATTCCTCTACATGATTGCAACTATAGTTTCCGTTGATTCTGTTTTCTAGATATTTATGCCAAGTAATGGGGTCTACATTTATGTGACTGATTTATCTAAAGATCTTGATGATGTATGTGTTGATGAAGAAGGAGAACCGACAATGGAAGGCAAGACATCAAGAGGTATTGTTTGTCAATTTTTCAACAATATTGTGTACAATGTAATATACAAGTTTACAAGTTTAGACAATGTTGACTACTTACTAATTCTTATCTAATGTTACTATTTTGCCAATGCATGACTACTAAAAATGCAAGTCTGAAATACAAGGAAAATAAAACAAATCGTTTTTGAAAATACACAATCTTAGCATGTATTCATTTTTTATTTCAGAAAGTATTCTCAGTTGGAGTAATTCAATTCACGCCCATGTATCCACAAAGACAGACTTACAATATAAATTCAAACCAAGTATTGTTATTGCAGGAACAAAGATAGACAAGATCACAGAGGTAAATTTACTTTACAAAAGTAAATAGTTTCCATGAGATTATACAGTGAATTTCATAAAGGCATTAATGGAAATTCATAAAACCTTTCCTTTGGAAGACCCTTGTTTGAAATAATGTGCTCTTATTTGTTATGGGAGACATTTGAAACACTGATTACCCATTTGTCATTCCTCGTTTTCTTCAGTTTACTTCCATGCTTACATTAAGATAGGACATGTTGTTTTCAAGCTTTATTTGAAATTTCTACTTTTATGGAACTTTTGTGTACAATATATTTATTCCTTTATGAATTTTCATTCTATGAGTATGAGTCAACAACAAGCTGTATCTTAAGATTTATTGATAATCTTGTAACATATTCTATCTGATTCTACTGCACTGCTTGGATCAACACCATCACGGAGTCTAGCATTGCTAGGCAACTCAGGATTATCCCAATCTTAACTGCACTACTTGCATCAACTACATCTGGGAGCCTAGTATTCCTAGGCAACTCAGGATCATCCCAGCCTTTACTCCACTACTTGCATCAACATTACCAGGGAATCTAGCATTGCTAGGCAACTCAGCAATCTGATTAAAATCTGATGTAGTGTACGGGCTTTAATTATTTTGGCTATAAACTTATTTTAATTTTATTTTTTATTACTTTTGCTATTAATGCCTTTTTTGATTTTTATTACTGTGTCCTTTGTCTTGAATTACGTCAGCCATCTTGTAATCGTGAACGGGTGACTTTACAAACTGCCGTAACTATTTACACTATTCAACCACTTCAAAGTCAATTTAGAAGTATATATTTCTGTCAAACAGATCCAATGATATTGACGAGCATGTATGATGTGTTTTAGAATGGTATTATATACACTAGAGAGAATCTACTCACATTAGGGAGCGAAATTCGTACGTGTCATAACCAATCATATGCAAATTAAATTAGTATATGTTGTTGGGCTACTGAACAATATTGATGAACTGAGGATCTTGGCTGAGTAATTATAATTATGCTGCACAAATCACAGTTAACATTAGTTCACAGTCATGTTTACTTGATCTAGTTTGCCAAAGTTTAAGCAAACACTATAATTGATTG